GTGTACATACTTAGGTTCAGTTTTGGTGTGCTCTGGTCTTGTGATATGGATCTGGAGCAAGTAGGTCGTTCCAAGTGGGAGCTGGTGAAACGTTACTTATGATGATGGTAACGAATTTTGATGTGCTCTGGTCCTATGGCGGGGATCGGGAGCAAGTAGTTGGTTCCATGTTGGAGCTGGTGAAGCGTTACCTATGGTGAGGGTAACGATTTGATATTTTCTGGTCCTATGGTGGGGATCAGGAGCAAGATGAACCAGAGTGTTCATGAATGGTACCACATGTATAATGAGTCAGTTGTGGAGTACATTTGCATACATGATTACATATGTAGTCGATTGTTCACGATGATGTTGATTGGTTACGAATATGTGTATGTTGTTATGAATGAGTGTGATACTATGTTTTTGTTGATTGTGTAATGAATGTGTGCTTGTTGTATGTTCTCTACCTTAGAATTCTTTACATTGTTTATATTGATTTGTTGTTTCTCACCCCATTTGCTTCATGTTGTCCACCATGGACATCTTGAATATACTCAGGAGTAGAGTTTGCTGCTGTAAGTGGAAGTTAGCTCCTGGAGTTACTTTGTTTAGTTTCATTGTTGTTTAAAAGTATTGCTATGATCCTGTAACATCAGGGTTGAGAATATTTGTTTGCTTATTATATTTTGTTGGGACTTAATTTCTTTATTCGATTTATGTTGAAGTTGTTGAGAGTTAAACATGATAACTCAATACTTTGATAATAATTTATATAATTTTGAAGTTGACACTACTACAAAAAAGGATATACAACAACACCCATGTTACCACGTACAAAGGATCCACCATGGTAGAATCTATTCAATTAAACACCTTCTTTTTATTTTCATCTTTAAGCCACTTTTTACCACGGTTGGAAGTTTGAACCGTGGTAAAAAGTGGTGCATGGTCATAAGTTCGAATCTTGCTGACGTTGTTGTTTTACTGCTCCATTTTCTATATTTTATTAAAAGGCATACAACAATGGTTGTTTAATACAACTATTGTTGTATGTAGCGCATGGTCATGAGTTCGAATCTTGCTGATGTTGTCGTTGTTCTACTGCTGCCTTTTTTATATTTTATTGAAAGACATACAACAACGTTTATTTAATACAACCGTTGTTGTATGTAGCATGCTTAGAAGTCTCTCAGGGTTATGGGAAAATATAAGCGTATTAATTGAGTTTCTTCAATTTCCTTAAACAAATCATTGTCGTCCATTTAGTAAGTATCAACGCTCAAGAACCTACCATTAGTGATTCGCATGAAACCTAAAACTTAGACGACCTTCCAACTTAGATAAACTTCATCTTCTACCTCTAAACTTTATCTTTTATTTATGACACTCTATTTCTCCATTAAACCAAGCTCGAAAATATCATTTCTTCCATAAATAATACTAAAAAAGACCATTTATTTCTTTAACAAATTTCAGAACTCCATCATCTCTTTTCCAACTTGAATGAGACAAGGAAAGTATGAATTCAAGTTAGCAATGTTAATTGTTGTTGTTCTTGTTGTTCTTTTTTATGTTATTGTTGTCATTGTTGTTCTTGTTATTATTATTGTTGTTCTTGTTGTTATTTTGTTGTTGTTATTAGTGTTGTTATTGTTGTTGTTGTTGTTCTTCTTCTTCTTCTTCTTCTTCTTCTTTTCTTTCTTTTTCTTCTTCTTCTTCTTCTTCTTCTTCTTCTTCTTCTTCTTCTTCTTCTTCTTCTTCTTCTTCTTCTTCTTCTTCTTCTTCTCGTTGTTGTTATGTTGTTGTTGTTGTTGTTGTTGTTGTTGTTGTTATTGTTTTTGTTTCTTTTGTTGTTATTCTTGTTGTTGTTGTTGTTGTTGTTGTTGTTTTGTTGTTGTTCTTGTTATTGTTGTTGTTGTTGTTCTACTGCTGCATTTTTTTATTTTATTAAAAGATATATAACAAAGGTTGTTTAATACAACTGTGGTTGTATGTAGCGCTCTATCTAGTTTACTACCCACGGGCAACAAACCGTGATTTTAAATAACTCACTTACAACCACACCCTACCTAACAACGGTTGTTCAACCGATATTATAGGTCTTGCACAACCATTGTGATATGTGTTCTTCGTAGTAGTGTGAGACTAAATGTCTAAGTTATGTTGTTTTATTTAATTAAAATAAGGTCGATATCGCCGCAATGATATCCTAAGTGAAGGTGAGCATGTGATGACAAATATTGTATGACGTTGATATTTCCAATGCGTGTTTATTAAATGCTTGATTTATTAAATAATTTGTTGTTAGTGACACCATAAATTATCGTGTAAAGCTTAATATATAAGTTTCGGGGTTTAAGATATTATATAATGTTATTATAAAATGTGCCAAATCATTTATGTGAAATTTTACAAATATAAATAAAAGAAAAAAAACCAACAATTCATCAATTTTAAATGCAAAGAACCTAGTGAAAAAATTAAAATATAATAAAATCTAAAAGTTTAGTAATTTACTTAAAAGTAAGAATGTATTATTTATAACTCCTTCTATCATTGAAAGCAATAAAACATACATAATATTAAAATTATTTTGTTCAGAATTTAGACCATATACATTTAACTATTTAATTTTTTTTAAAAAGTATTTGTCACCACTTTGAATATATGCAGTTTTTTTTCTTCTTTTCAAACCATATTAATAGTCATAAATTATATATATTTTTTACAATATTAGAGTACAATTTAATTTTAAAAATTCAAATACCATAAGTCTTTATGATATATTAAAAAAAAGACTTTACCTTTATATTGTAAAAATATTATGATTATTTTTTGAAAATTAATAAAAAATGATTAATGTTGATTGAATTATTTTGTGTATTAGTCTTTATTGTGTTATACACCGCTAACATATGTTGAGTATATTCTCACCTATGTTTGTTGTTGTGTGGCAATTTATGTCGTTAATTGCATATACGCAAGTAGAAAAGTCTTAATATCATGTGTGTTAGTGAATGACTTGAGATGATTGTTTTCATTCTCGTTTAATTCTGCGTTTGTCTAGATTATGTAAATAATGTTTCAGATAGTGTAACAATGAAACGAGATTTGTTATATCTATCTTTGCAAGTTGTTTTAATTATATATTTCGATCATATTAAAGTGAAATTTCTTTTTGAAATTATGAGATATGTTAATTGGTTAAATATTTTAATTCCGCTGCAACAATTTTATAAGTTGAAATGATTGTTTAATTGAGAAGTTTGTGTGACACCTTAAAAGTGATAATTTTTTTTAAAGTTTATATGTAGTTTTCTTTTAAGTTAAGTGATTTTAGGTTGTTATATCTAAATTGACTCTTCCTATATATCAAGAACAAGAAAAGGAGGAGGGTTTCATGATAAATGTCTAATAAACTAAAATCTCTAAAGCAATTTGAATTAATAAAAAAATTGAACATTTCATCAATTTTGAGTGCAAACAATTAAAATATAAAAAATAATAAAAGTCAATAACTTATTTAAGAGTAAAAGTATATTATTTATGACTTCTTTTATAATTAAATATAATTAAATAAAAGCAATAAAACATACATAATATCTTTTTAAAAGTATTTTGTTTAACATCTTGGTCAAATATATTCAACTATTTAATATTTTTTTTTGACAAAATACTGTCTAGATCTTTTAAGTTATTTTCAAGTATCAAGTTAGTCCTTTAAGTTTTTTTTAACGCTTTGCTCTTTTATGTTAAGTAACGTCTGTGTCGTTGATCTTTTTAAAAATCTCATTTATAATAAATTGCAAACTCATATATTATTTGAACTGATTTTTCGCGTTGATCACGAATATGCAATCAAATTTATCAAACAAGTTACGATTCATGAGAATCAAGAGAAAAGTGGACAAATACATAATGAAAAATCGTTCGATCCGACCAAAATACACAATCAAACAAAAAACTAATTATATATTCATGATTAGCGCAAAACTCCCGTTCAAATGGTATATGAGCTTGCAATTTATTATAACGAAGATTTTTTAAAAAGTCAACAAAATAAATGTTACTTAACATAAAAGACTAAAGTGTTACAAAAAAATATTTAAATAACTAACTTAATATTTTAAAATAATTTAAAAAATTAAAACAGTATTTTTGCCTATTTTTTTAAAAAGTATTTTGTCACCACTTTGAATATATCCAGTATTTTTTAATGACTAGTTTTTTCTTCCCAAATCATATTAATATTTATAAATTATATATTTTTCTACAATATTAAATTACAATATTAATTTTAAAAATTCAAATAACATAATTATTATTTTCTATATGATTCTTTATGATATATATCGAAAACGACGTTATTTTTATATTGTAAAAAGTTATGATTATTTTTTTAAAATTTAATAAAAGTTATTTAAAACTCAATTATCAATAAATAAAAAAAGGTAATTTTGATATCTAATAGCATAAACATTTTTAGTATAATAAACTTTAACATAATTAAAATTACATAATTTTTAGAAAAATATAAATCTCAAAAAATATTTTTACAAAAAATTAACCAAAATAAAATATTTTATTTTAATAAAATTTTCTAATTTTATCATAAAAAAATTATAGTAAAATAGTAAAAATATTTAATCTTTGACGAGAAACTATTTGAACAAAATTTTCATTTATAGTCAAGATTAAAAAGTTTTCTTTTTAAAAAAATATCTTAAAAATTTTATTATCTTAAAAATTGAACTTATCTAGAATCAGTTTTTACTTAGAAAGTGAAACCGTACGCTACACATAGTCAAATTCAAAATAAAATAAAAGAAGAATAAAATAAAAAATAATAATAAATGTTTCTAGAGTATAATTATTATGAATTAATCAGATCCGTCTATCCACGCTATATAACTCCCTTTACTCTCTTCTTTCCCTCTCATTTTCAGTTTCTTCTTCTTCTCTTCTTCAGCTGCTGCTGCTGCTCAAACCAAACCAAATCCAATTTCCCTTTTTCCGCCATGGAAGGTGCTCCTGGACCTCAGTACAACCCCCGCACCGTCGAAGCTGTTTTCCGGGATTTCAAGGGCCGTAGAGCTGGTTTGATCAAAGCTCTCACCACTGGTATGTCTCTCTCTCTCTCTCTCTCTCGCTCGCTATCTGAATTATAGTTTTCTTTTGATTTTTGATTTTTTTTTGTAATTGTTGTTTTTTTTTTGTTTTTTTTTTTGTTTTGTTTTGGTGCAGATGTTGAGGAATTTTACCAGCAGTGCGATCCTGGTTAGTGTTTTAGCCTCGATCTTTGTTGCGTTTTGAGATTGTTTCGTTTTCTGTTTTTTTTTTTTTTTTTTTTGTGTAGACTTCCGATTTATGTGTTTTTTTTTCTTCGGTTATTTGTTTGTGCTTGCGATTCTTTCGATTGTGGTTTTTTTTGTTTATTTATATATTCACTGTTTTTTTTTTGTGGAGAAAAATGAAATTTTATGATGGTGTTACTGAGTTCTATTTTACTGTTTTTTTTTTTTGTTTTTTTTTTTATGGGTATAAAGTGATTGTTGGTAATGGTGAATTTTTTACAGGGAATATATTTCTGTGAAGCAAAGTTGTAGTGGTTAAAGATTTTGTGTAATTCTTTTGCTGGTTCAATTTGTTGGTTTGATCAGTTAAACCACTGTGATTTTGCTTCACGGAAATATATTCGGTGGAAAGAAATTAGACTGGAGATCGAACTGTTCAATTGGTTCAATCAGTTGGTTCAATCAGTTTAACATTGATTGAATCAACTCTGGTTTGATCTAATTTGAATCAATAGCTGTCAGTTGGCTAGAATCAGATTGTAGATTGAACGAGAGAGTTCAATTGGTTCAATTAGTTTAACCGTTGATTGAACCAACTTTAGTTCAACCTGGCTCGAATCAGTGTCATTGGGCAATGTTGTTTGACCTAGACTGGAGATCGAACTAGGGAGTTCAGTTGGTTCAATCGGTTTAACCACTGATTGAACCAATTGCAGTTCAACCTGGTTTGATCTTTGGTTGAATAAGACTCAACCAACTGTGATTGGAGTAGCCATTAGACTGGTTGGCTCTCAGTTGAACCGGCCGGTTTAGTTTTGACAACATTGTCACTGGACAGACTTGTTTTGCCTCCTTGCTGTGATGATCTAAATGTTTTGCTTCTTTTGGCTTACAATCTTTGCTTGTTGTATGTTTTGATTGTTTTGAACTGTTCCGATGAACTTATTTGAGCTTATTGTCTGCATTAAGACTACATACACGGCTGTTTTGGGTATATTTTTGTTTGCTAGATACAGCTTAGATTTTGATGTATAGGTTTTCAAAATGATTTTGGACTACATTAATGTTAATGAATAACCAAAACCCTATTATTGCATAAACCCTATGTGTATTTAATTTTGGATTCGCATTGTTTAAAAAGGATTGTGTATGCTTGTGAATATCTTATTTTATTAAATGCCGTAAAATTCTGATGATTCTAAGTTTTCATTTTAATGCTGTCATAATTGTGATTTAACAGTTTGATTCTGTGTTTTTGAACAACTGCAATGTTTAACATGTTGTACTTCAGAAAAGGAGAATCTTTGTCTGTACGCGTATCCCGGTGGATCATGGGAAGTTACTTTACCTGCTGAAGAAGTTCCTCCTGAACTTCCAGAGCCTGCACTGGGCATCAATTTTGCTAGGGATGGAATGCATGAAAAGGATTGGCTATCTTTAGTTGCTGTTCACAGTGATGCATGGCTACTCTCTGTGTCTTTCTACTTTGCTGCAAGATTTGGTTTCGGCAGATCTGAAAGGTACTTTAATTCTTCTCTCAAACCCTTTAATATGTTATTCATTTTCGTTTGTTTTTCGGTAATCAATTTACGTGTGTTAATTGTTGAATGAAAACATATTTGGTGCATGCTGTTTTCTTTTATTGGTGAACTTATGTTTCTCATATGGCATGATTGAATCATTGAATTGATTTAATTTCCGCGTGTTGATGAACGTCAAAGTTACCAAATTGAAAAACAAAATTAGTTCATTCAAATCATATATATTTGCTATTTATATCCTGATATGTGATGCACTGTGATTCTTCGTGTAGGAAACGCCTTTTCACTCTGATTAATGATCTGCCAACAATATTTGAGGCTGTGACTGGATCTGCAAAGAAACAGGAAACGGAAAAGCCATCCGTCTCGAGCCACAACAACTCAAAGCCTGGTTCAAAAGTGGTAAAAAAAAAAAAAACCTTTCACCTTCACCCTTTCTTGTAGATTCATATACTTTGCTTGAATCGGTATGTTTTTCATAATTATTTAATCATCATTGAAATATAACTAAATGCAGCGTGGATCTGAACCGGAAAACCAAGAAGAAGAAGAAGAGGAAGATGAAGAAGAGGATGACGAGGTATTGGACGAAGAAGATGAGGAGCAAGGGGAGTGTGCTGCTTGTGGCGAGAGCTATGTATCTGCGTCTGAGGAGTTCTGGATTTGCTGCGACGTGTGTGAGAAGTGGTACCATGGAAAGTGCGTGAAGATCACTCCTGCCCGAGCCGATCACATCAAGCACTACAAGTGTCCTGCATGCAACAATAAGAGATCTCGTCCTTGAATATCATAGGGATGTGAGTTACATCTCACTGCTGTAACTCTATGCCGGACAGCTATTTAGTTAGTTGCTTAGACATTCTGTGTTGTGCCATTTTGTGCGTTTTAGTCCCGTCAACTTCTTTTGTGGATATTATTTATTAAAATACTTGATAGTTGGCGTGTTTCGTTTCGGACATGTTTCCGACCTTTTCCCTGTATGTTGGGATATTTATATGTTCTTAGTACCCAGAAAACAATTTTTTTGCTACATATTCTCAGTTTTCTTTCATGCTAGAGCCCTGGATTTATCAGGTTTATGATCTGCTCTATATTGGTCCCTATAATGTGCGGACTGTGTTTATTTTACTCCACAGGTAGCATAGCAGCAGCCACTCAAGCTTCGGAAAAAGAATTCGAGTTTAGTTGAGATGAGCATGATCTGTAACATGTTTGCCTCAATTCTTTCTCGAAGCATCGATAAGCTAGTATTGCAGGGCAATGCTATGCATCTATTTTACTTGAGTGGCTGAAAGGGGAGAAGAAGTGTTTGTTGAATGATAGACAGCATCAGTGTACTCCAGATTGAGTGCTGGATTGTTTTCATCGCCGATGTGGTCAAGATCGAGCTTTTTGAAGCAAGATCATAAAAATGAACATGCTGGATTTTTTTTTTGCCTGAATTATAATTCTCGTGTATGTATATATAAATGTATATGAAGGTAGGATCTTATGTGCCGTGCTAACGAATATGAGTTCTATAATCTTTCACAAACCGACTGATTCTACTTAAGATATCGTGCTTGACTACATTGGAGTTTTGCAATGCTTCAGAGTCTGCCTACAACAGCAATACTAAGGTATTTTTGCTTCATCTCAACAGGGTTTGCTTGGTTCTCTGGTGTGAAATTGTTGTTTAGTTTGATAAAATTGTTGTATGTTTAGTTTTGAATAATTTCGAGTTTTTAAATCAATTCTAATTTGAAGCAACTATTTAAAGTTTTTTGTTGGATAGAATTGATTCTAGTTTTTTACACCTTGTTTATACATGACATGTCTTAATACTTATTTTGAAAATTCTACATTCAAAAGCAACTTTAATTCAAATTACTTAAAATAAATTGTTAATTTTTTGTAAAGCAACTATTTGAAGTTTTAAATGTTGGGTTTGAATTAATTCTAATATTTTGTGAAGCAACTATTTAAAGTTTCTATGTTGGGTTAGAATTAATTCTAATTTTTTGTGAAGCAACTATTGAAAGTTTTTATGTTGGGTTAGAATTGATTCTAGTTTTTGTGCACCTTGTTTATATATGACATGTCTAATACTTTAAAAAACAAAAAATTAAACATTCAAAACCAACTTTAATTCAAATTATTTAAAATAATTTTTATTTTGTAAAACAACTATTTAAAGTTTTTATGTTGGGTTAGAATTGATTCTAATTTTTTGCACCTATTTTATACATGTCTTAGCACTCATTTTGAAAATTATATGTTTAAAATAAATTGTTAGTTTTTGTGAATCAAATATTTAAAGTTTTTATGTTAGGTTAGAATTGATTCTAAGTTTTTGCACCTTGTTTAATAAACATGTCTTAATACTCATTTGAAAATTATACATTCAAAAGCAGCTTTAATTCAAATGATTTTAAATAATTTTTAAAATTTTTGTGGTTCAAAACATAAATTATTTTAAATTTAATAAATTACATTTTAATTGCATGTACAATTCATAGGATAAAATTAAAAATTGAATTTTGTTAAATCAATTTAATTGATAACTATGCCGAATCTAAATCCGCGATATCTCACTTATCTCATTTATTCTATAGGCAAATTTATCTTCTAAATTACAAACAAGGTTATATATATAGAGGTTGATTTTTTTTCTTTTCATTTTCTATATTCTGAGTAGACAATTAAATTAAGTTCTTCCTTTATTAAACTCTAGTTACTCTTTCTAGTAACTTAAGTAATATATCAAAAATATCTTTTTTTTAGATAGAATTTACTGCATGTATTTTTAGTTGCAATCGTTTTCTTCTTCAATTTGCTTCTCTAATTTTTAGAAAGATTTTGGAAAAAGTCCGACTAATACAATTATCATCGTTTGAATATACAACAGCCTCCTATTAAACTTTTTTTTTATCACTCCAAAGTCTTCTTTTCAAATAAAACTCAAAAGTAATTTCAAAAGTCGTCTTAATCTTTTTATTCAGTTTCTTAACTTGATAAAGGAGCTTCGATATTTGTTTTATAACCTCCGTATTTTAAAATAATATTAAATAGAATGATTGTATTATTTGAATTAATAATATAAATATTATATTTGGACTTTTTCATCTCTAATTTAAATGTTAGGTGCGGAATATTATTGATATAATATGTCAAGTCATTGGTTAGCATTTAATTAGAAACAATTGCAACTTATAAGCAAGCTAGTTTTTAGCAAATCATGGTTACTATTCGGTGTAACTCAAAATGGTTCAATACATCGAGGGATACATCTGTTCCCAAACACAATGTAGCATCATTATAAATTGAATGTTTTTTGACACGATGAAACATACAAAAAATTACAATTTGTCTCAAACTATTTTCTCACTCTAAATTATCTTTTTCTTCTCTAATGCATGAGAGCAAGTAAAAGAATTATTCTTCTATAAAATAATATCAAAGATACGTTTTGAGAGAGATTGTGCAATTCTCTTTAAGGATTCCAAAGTATCCTGCAGGAAATTTGCAGGTAAACCCGTTTGCATGCAATATACCAAGATTGGTGGGGGCGGATTGTTCCTTACGCTTAGTGTGGAAACATACGCTTTGGAAGTTTATCAAGAAAATTTATTTTTATATTTTCATCTCCATTAATTCTTAGTTTTGCAGCAGTCCCAAAGACTATATGTCTAACATTCATAAGAAACAATTTATCTCATTCAATGGCTGCTTCACTAAAAGAGATGACTTCTGACTTTGTGAAATTAGAGAAGTTCGATGGTGGAAATTTTATTTGTTGGTAGAAAAAAATGAAATTTCTTCTCACAACATTGAAAGTGGTGCATGTCCTTAACATTCCAAAACCGGAAGAAAAAGAAGATGAAACAATTGTTGAAACTAGAGAAAGACAAAAGTGGGACAATGATGATTATATATGCATGGGACACATTCTCAACGGTATGTGCGATTCGTTGTTCGACATTTATCAGAGCAGAAATTCCGCAAAAGAATTATGGGAGAAATTGGAATCAAGATACATGCAAGAAGATGCTACAAGCAAGAAGTTTCTTGTTTCTCAATTTAATAATTATAAAATTGTAGACAATAGGCCTGTAATGGAACAAATGTATGAAATCGAACGTATTCTCAATAATTACAAACAACGTGATATGCATATGGATGAAACAATCATTGTATCTTCCATAATTGATAAACTTCCTACATCATGAAAAGATTTTAAAAAATCTTTGAAGCATAAGAAAGAGGACATATCTCTTGAGCAATTGGGTAATCACCTTCGTTTAGAAGAAGAGTATCGTAAACAAGATGATACTAAAAATCAAATTACTCATGAGAAGGTGCATGTAATGGAGGAAGGAAATTCAAGTAAAACTTCCAAGAAAAGAAAGCGAGATTTTGGAAAATCCTATGAAAAATCATAATGTTAATAGCAATAATAACAATAGAAAGAAAAAGAAAAGAAATTGCTATCATTGTGGAAAACCAGGACACTTTAAAAATGAGTGCAGGTTCTTAAAAAGAGAGAATAAAAACAAGAATTCAAGCGCAACAACAGACAATCTTGTTGCTGTCATTTCTGAAATCAACATGATAGAGGATGTTGATTCTTGGTGAATAGACTCTGATGCTACCCGTCATGTGTGCAAAAATAAAAAATTATTCAAGACCATCAATGAAGAAAATGGTAGTGTTTTGTACATGGGAAATGCTTATACGGTTCAAGTCAAAGGAAAAAGATCAGTAGAGATTGAATTCACATCTGGAAAATTACTCACTCTGAAAGATGTACTTTATGTACCTGAAGTTAGAAAAAACTTGATATATGTACCTTTACTTAATAAGTATGGTTTCAAATCTGTATTTGAGGGAGATAAATTTATTCTCTCCAAAAGGGGTATGTTTGTAGGGAAGGGTTGTCTCTCTGAGAATATGTTCATGTGTAATGTTGTTAATAATAATAGCAATAATAATAATGATGTGTTTTCTGCTTATATTGTTGATTCTTATGATTTATGGCATATGCGACTATAACATGTTAATTTAAAAAAATTAAATGATATGATGAAATCAAATTTAATTTCAACTAGTGACAAAAATTCAAATTCATGTACTACTTGCATGTTAACTAAAATTACTAGACAACCTTTTAAAACAATTGAAAGAAGTTCTAAAGTGTTAGATTTAATTCATTCTGATGTATGTGATTTACATGGTTGGCCCACAATTGGTGGTAAAAAGTATTTTGTCACTTACATTGATGATTGCACTAGATTTTGTTATGTTTATTTAATGCACTCTAAGGATGAAGTCTTGGAAAAATTTAAAATTTTTAAAGCACAAGTAGAACTTCAACATGAAACTTTCATTAAATGTTTTCGGAGTGATAGAGGGGGAGAGTTCTATCATCCTAATTATTTTGAGTCCACTGGTATTATACATCAAATAACTGCACCATATTCCCCACAACAAAGTAGAATAACAGGAAGGAAAAATAGGGTGCTGGAAGAAATGGTAAATGCCATGTTATCCTATTCTGGTTTATCTAAAGGATATTGGGGTGAAGCCATGCTAACTGCATGTTATATATTGAATAGAGTTCCTAATAAAAGGAACAAGATAATCCCATATGAACTCTGGAAGAAAAGAAAACCCAATCTAAACTATTTAAAAGTTTGGGGTTGTAGAGCAATTGTAAAGGTGCCTGAACCAAAAAGAAAGAAATTAGGAGAAAGAGGAATTGAATGTGTATTTCTGGGCTATGCTGAAAATAGCAAAGCATATAGA